TACTCTAGCTCAGGTTGTAGTAGTTTAGAGAAGGGCTGTGTGAAGCATTAGAGTGAGCTTTGATCGTTTCAAGCCAAGTCGAAGTGCTTTGAAACCAAAGTTAATGCAGAGGGGGTAAACACGGGAGTGTGAAAAATTGCTTGCGCGTCTTGCTAGTAGGCTTATAGTGGGTACGGCAAGTAGATTGTTAACAGGGGCAAACAGCAAGAGGCTAGTGTGAACGATGGAGAACCTTAAAGTGAAGGAACTCATTGAAATTTGTGAGGAACTCGGCATTACTTTGGGCCGTGCGAAACGAAAGCAAGCGATCCTTGAGATCATGAAGCATGAGGGAGTGTCGGCTGAGGGAGTGTCGGCTGATGAAGTCGATGAGGCCTGGCTGGATATCAAAGCACGCCGCGAGGAGGCTGAAAGGCGAGAAGCTCGCGAACGTGAGGAGGCTGAAAGGCGCGGAGCTCGCGAAGGAGCTGAAAGGCGCGAAGCTCGCGAAGAAGCTGAAAGGCGCGAACGTCGCGAGCGCGAGGAGGCCGAGAGACAGGAGCGCCTCAAGTTGAAACGAATAGAATTCTCAATCCTACAGTGTTCGCAGGCGCCTAGCGTAGCTTCTCCGACAATTCAGGTCAGCGGTTTTAGAATTCGGGACCAACTGCCACCGTTCGTAGTAGGCGAGGACATGGCGAAGTATCTCGTCAAGTTTGAACACGTCTGTGAGCGAAACGCTTTGGAGCGGTCTCTTTGGGCGCGGAACCTGTTAGCTCTTCTTCCCGGCGAAGTGTCCGACGCGATAACTTGCTTGTCGAGGGAAGCGTTTGAGAGCTATGACGAGGTTAAGGAAGTGCTCTTAAGACGTTATAAGTTGTCACCCGAGGCTTTCAGGCAAAGGTTCCGGTATGCTAAAAAGGGGAATGAGTCACACGTTGACTTCGCGTTTCGTCTTAAAGCCGATTTAATTGAATGGCTCAAGGGCGAAGGTGTTTATGACGACCGCGATAAAGCGGTGGAATGCGTTGCAATGGAGCAATTCTACCGCTGCATCGAGGAGGATGTCAAACTTTGGCTGCAGGACAGACTTGGTGAAGTACAGCTAAACAAGGCAGCAGAGTTAGCTGAGGAGTATTATACTCGCCGAAAGTTGCATAGCAGGGCAGTGCGCGTGGAAAAGGATGAAAGGAAAGAGGGCTTTTCAAGGAAACCTGATCAACGGAAACCCGCTCCGCACCGTAATTTCAAGAAGGACCCGTCTCTTACGAAGGACACTGTAGGGGAAGGACAAACGGAAGCGGAGAAATCGAGTGAGGTTTCTACCACACGGGCATTTGAATCGGAAAACAAACGGAAGCCGATAATCTGCTACAACTGCAAAAAGGAAGGACACATCGCGAGAAACTGCCAGGAAAAGTTTGCCTTCGCAACGATCCGAGAATCAGAAAAAAACATGCGGTTGTTGGAGCCGTATCTCCAAGAAATTAGGGTGAATGAGAAAACGTGCCGAGCACTTAGAGACTCAGCGGCAACCATGGACGTTGTCCATCCTTCATTGGTGTTTCCGGATGACTTTACAGGAGAATGCGCGTGGATCAGGCAAGTCGCCGAGGAGCAGAGTGTTTCCTTACCAATCGCCACGGTTGTCATTGAAGGCCCGTTCGGTAAGCTTCGCACCGAAGCAGCTGTGTCTGCCGCGCTAAATTATTGTTTTCCTTATCTTTTCTCCAACAACTCAGAGCAGCTTCTCAAAGAGCAGGGCAAATCGTTCTTCCCCAACTTAGCATGCATGGCCCTCACGCGATCGCAAGCGCGGAAGCTTTCGCGGAAGCTTGACCTTGTTCAATGCGGTGAACTCTCAGGTGACCTTGTCGGCGGGTCGACGGAACCCCAGAAAGGAAATTTTCCGTGTGAGTCATGTGAGCAGTCACGCGAGCGGCCCGTCGCCGAAGCGACCAGTGCGGTATGCGTAGGGGGAGACGACATGGCGCCATTGAGTCAGAGCGAGAGGGTTGCAACGCTCTCGCCTGTAGCGGAAAGTTGGGGCGAGCTGTCGAGGGATGATCGAGAGACGCCCATTCAAGAGCAGCGCGAGGACCTCTCGATTAAAGCGCCAGTGGAAAGCCACATGAAAGCTTCACAAGTGCTGTCGAAGGAGCACTGCGAGAAATCGGTGAAGAAGCGCGCTTTTGAAGTAGGAAGTCAGGTAATGCTGCTGCAGCCGTCCAAAAGGAACAAGCTTGAGGTTGATTGGGAAGGGCCTGCCAATGTAATATCGAAGCTCCCCGATACGAATTATGAAGTGAAATTAGGAAGGTGGCAGGACAAAATTTACAACTTGATGAAACCCTACGTTCAACATCAAGCGGTCGTAAATCAGCTGTTGAATGCTTCAGAGGAAGAGGAAGCAGAAATTTTTAGTTCTTGTGAGGTAATCGAAGGGGGATCGAAAGTAATCTGGGAGCAGATAAACCTAGAGCCTAGGTTAAGTGAAGCCCGGAAGGAGGACCTGAGAAGGATTGTTTCCGAGTTTGGAGACGTGTTTTCGGACCGCCCCGGAAACACGAGGGTGATCGAACACGATATCGAGCTAAGCGGTGAGGAGTCAATCCGTAGCAAGCCGTATCGTTGTTTCCCTGTGCAACGTCGCAGGTATGAGCCGCTCTTGGTACCGCATAGGTATCGTCGCCTAAAAGTGACCGGTTATTGAGATGGAGCGTGATACTCCGACAGCGCAACTTTGACGTTCGCTAAAGAAAAAAAAAGGAAAGCTAAACGCTAATGCAGGTGCATTGAGCAGTGCGTTCTAGCTAGTACCTTCTCAACCTTTCGGTTTCTCGCTGGCGATTCGGGGCAAAATTTTGACCTCATCACGACCTGGGCTGAGCGCTCTTGTTCAGAGTGATCTCAAGGGGCCAACTTTATGTGGTATTCTAATTCGTTGCGTTGTTGTACGTGTAAAAATTCGAGTTCTCATTTTAAGAGTCTTGTGTCCCACATGTGCCTCTTGATGTAGAGGGAACGAAATTCCGATAGACACATAGCTAGGTATATGTTGTACTATACTTTGTCTGGTGTTCTGTCGGGTAAGCGAGGGCGCTTGCTTGTGTTGTGTGTTGTCTGTTGTCGATCCGTTCTTGGCAAGTTGCAGAACCATCGACAAGTGCTGAAACCAAAGATTGTCAGAAGAGACGAGCGAAGCTGGTCAACAAGTTGTGGCGACAAGCCAGTGGAGCTGGGATCCGTCCTCAAGGATGGGATGTGTTCCCGGGACAGAGTCTGGAGCTGCATTCTCCCCATAGCCCTGGAGGCGAACCTGGAGGGACCTGGCGAACGAGCGCGCCTGTCATCCGAGCCCCGTGGAAGCAGCTCGTCTTTTCGGCGCATTGTCTGGCGGCGGGGGTGCTGTTATGCCTGCGAGTCCACAGCGAACGGCCATGCCTCTGAAAAAGGCAATCTGTGTCAAGGCCAGCCCGCCTGACGCGAACAACTCAACGGCGTCAACAGACGGACGGCGCCTTTCTGTCGTGCACGTGCAGTGAGTCATCCCAGCAAGCGAGCCCGTCGAGTAAACAACGGGCGTCTTCATGTCTGGGGGTCTGACGTGGCCCAGCGGCGACCCCATTGGAGGAATCTGCCCTGACGACCAGCGGCGCTTCTGGTTGGACATTTGGATTGGACCCGGTGCATATAAAAAAAGCCCTGCGGCGCGTCGCGATAGGTGAAAGCTGACATGTGTGTCAGAGCGGACCCGTTTGAGAGCAGACCTATGTGTTAGAGGGGAGAGCTCGGCTCTTCGAGTCTCTGTCGGCCCCAGTGCCGAATTTGTAACGCCCCTGTATACATGCTGTACATAAACCTTGTTTAACTCACCGTCGTCTCGTCCGCTCGTCTATCAGCTTTGCGCAGAAGCCGTCGCGAGCTGAGAAACCTACGCTACCAAACGGCTGGTGACCTTCCCGGCGGAGTTCAAAGCAGTGGCGCCTTCGGGACCGTGTTGGCGTCGCCGTCTTTCGAAACAGTGGTTGCAGCGGTGAGATTTCGATGCGCCCTTCGTAAGGTCGTCGGAGGTGCGCGTCGGAACAGTGCCTAACAATATCTCTGGCGTGCCGCGGGAAATACGTAGCCACGCCATTTTGGTGATATTGTTTCTTGAAGCCTTTTTCTCGCGGCAAATAAACCAGTCTTGTCCCAAAGTTCAAAAAATGTAGGTATGTTCTTTTCGCTCCTACTTGGGACGAGTACGCTACAAGTGCCATTGCAGGGTGCCTAGGCGCGCAAGTGGACGAAAGCCAGTTGGTCGTACACTAGGCTCGTTTCCCCCTCCCCTATACGGATTTTTTTTTCTTTCTGTCATGTACTATAGATCACAGAATGACATTCGACTACATCTGCCTGCCCAGCCCCCACTATTGAACAAGGAGGTGCATGCCGCCCTCCCCATCTCCGCCGATGAAAATTTCTGCCTACGCCTTTAGCAAGAGTAAGCAAAAAGCATTAAAGGCATTTGGTCACGTCGCCATATAGTGCATGGACATCTTGTGAAACTCTGGCTAGAGATAGCTGGGACACCCTGTATATCGAAGTATTTTGAAGTGGCAAATAAAATTGATTGATTTATTGATTGATTCAATTATTTATTCATTCATCTTGAACCGGTCCTTCATTTTGTTAAAACACCACTCAACTGCGTTGCGTTGGCTGTTGTTCCTTAATAGCACATTCTAAATACCTTATTACCTCCTGAATATATTTATTGTTTGTTTATTAAGATCAGTAGATATAGCCACTACTATGCCATCAAAATAATGATTAAGCAAACAGCGAAGACGTTTACGCACATCACAGGCGCTAAGTTTTCTCTATTCTCTGACCCGTATTTTAGGTTTTTTTAGCCATACTAGATTCATTCAGCCATTGATAACTAGCCTACGGATAAGTTGTTCTCTAGTACACCTGAGCTTTTGACGCCATCCTCATGAGATGTCCCTTTAACCAAGACGATTTCGTAATCTTACCAAAGCCGTCTTTGATCCATGAGCTGTTAGCGCTTCCATGAGAAAACCGTAGAGCGTCCCATCTTTTGTGAGTGGAATGTACGGATAAGGTGAGTACACGATGCCATCCTCTATGCGTGCTTTCATGTCCTGTAAGCTGAAGAAGAGTATTTTTTATCCCTGGCACAAGTATTTGATTACAAATAATACAGTTTTCTGCAGACTGGGTCATTTATTAAACCATTTTCAGACAATCCAGCCATACTGCACAGATCATGGTGAATGAAGCAAATAAGAATTTTGCGTGAAGGAGAGAGAGAGCATAATGAAGTCAGGAGGCTTTGGTTATCACGTGCTTTTTGTAATATTTTTTTTTTCTGTTTCCCAGTCACTTAGTAAAGGCTTGGCCAACTACGCCCTGATTTTCAGACAGATGGCACATTGTGTGGAGAAGTAACGACTAATTACCGACTAATTACCGACAAAGTAACGACTAATTACCGCACACACTTCCAAATGTTTCATTAGCATGCGCTTTAATTTCTGTGCGCAAGCGCCGTAGAACGGAGACACGTTGCAAACAGGGCGACACCAAGCGCATGTCTATATATAACACTGTACTGAGGGAAACATTTGCTAGGCTATTCTAACCCACGCAAATCGCCCCCGCACAGCGCACATCACACGAACAGGCACCGTGAGTATGCGAATGGTTTTGCCCTATTTTTTCCTCCGAAGACGAACGTTGCAGGAAGAAATCAACGCCACACACGCTCACTCATTCAACAAGCCTCAGAACACGCTTCATATAAAGTGCGCTGATAGAAAAGCGGGGGGGGGGGGGGGGGGTACTAGAAAGGGACAGCCTAACAAGCAATGCGTCCATTGAGCACGCTTTATGGGCACGCGCTTATCCTCGCCATTATTGTAACATGGCTCTATAGAGAAACATACATACATAACGAGCCGACATTCCCGTAGGGCCCTGCAGCCCAGCTACTGCGCTGCTTTCAGCGCCATGAATGGTTGGTTATACCCGGTAACGTACTCAGCATAAATGAAATAACAAAATGTTTTTCTTTCTGACGCTGGGATTTGATATACCCTCATGCTCCGATAGCGAGTGTCTTTACCACTAGGCTACACACTCATGCTTCAACAAAGAGAATACATGTACAGCACATCTAAGCCACATGGATGTGCCTCTTTGTGCAAAACAAATGCAGAAAGACAACAGTTTCCAGCCATACTTTATTGTTTTCTGTTGTTAGGCATCAAATGTCCTCAGCAGCGCATGATGTGTACAGTGAATATAAAAATTGCACACAAATTATTAATATATTTTTTTGAAAAAATTAATGCCAAGCTTGGGCATTCAATGTCTTCCTGAAGAGGCCATTACATGTGTTTAAAAAATTCAACAGATCCCACGTACCTGGCATTGACGTTATGCGAAGCACGCGGAGAAAAGGTGACCGTGATGCATTTTTTTTCATTGAGTGATGAAATGATGCTTAATATATGCAGAAATGTTGCACGGGGAGACATATGCTGAAGAGTAGTGGATGTTTACATATAAGCAGTTGTTTGCACTTACGCAAAGATGTCAGTTGGAACATTCGTATTAGAAACACCAGAAACTGATATAAAGCGCTAATGCTCGCGAAGATGCTGGCCCTTGACCCTGGTACTTAAATCGATTTCAGCGCATCACCTCATTGACGTTAACTCGACGTGAAGGCTGTATGAAAGGAGTACACATGTAATGTTTATAAAATTGTGCAGGCAGCACTGCAACCATTACAGACGTTTTGCGAAGGTTAGTGTGTATTTGAAAAGTAGTTCCGAGACCTGGCGTAGCTCTGTGGTAGAATGCTTGACCGCCACACAGAATGCTTCGGTTCGATTCCTGCTGGGACCCTGAAATTTATTATTTGCGTACGTCGGGTGGTCAATGCTGTCTATGCCATGTTTTTCTCAACACTGACATTTATTCCATGCCTTCATTGGGTCGAGGCTACTGATGTCCGGTATTGCTTAACGCTCACTCGTTGAAATGGCCCATCTGTGTTCTCGTCATTCCTCGGTAGATACTACGTGTCAATCACCTGTGGCACATACCCGCTTACCAGCGGCACATACCCGCCCGTGAGTATGTGCCATTGTCTGACGGGAAGTGTTTTATGACGTACGCGATGGGATTGTGACATTATTCATGTCTTGACCAATGCGTCATATTCGTGTAACCATCTTGCCCTCCGATTCTAATTTTGGTTCACACCAAGTGAAGGGGGTGACCACGAGAGCACCCAAACCTAAGCGGCTAGATAGATAGATACGCTCAAAGTCGCTGATGTTCGCTAAGAAATGTGTCACCTTTAAACGGGGTAAGAGCGAGGATGGGTACGCCATCTAGCAGTTGGTCGAGCTCTTTCTTGCTGGGCTCTAGTGGCTACTCTTTATATAGCACATTTCTCTATGATGGCTCTGCCATATGGCGTTGACGCACGCAAAGCTCGACGCCATCTAGCAGTTGGTCAGATTCTTTCTTGCTGGGCTGCGGAAAGGCTCGTGTGGCCACTCATTATATAGTATATTGCTCTATGATCGCTCTGTCATATGTCGTTGACGCACGGAAAGATCACCGTTGGCGCACGCCATATAAAAATTTGGTTGACTGTAGATGCGCCATTGGTACTAAAAGGAGGCTGCATGCGGAATATTTCAAGAAATGTGTTATAAAATAATCAAAAATAGAGGAAAATGAAGAATAGCTCGCTGATTTGTCATTACTTTTTCTGTAGCGGACATCTTAAAATACCTAGCAACGTAAGTTATGGCTGTAATCAAAGAAACTACGTTAATGTACTCTTGATTCAGGATAGATACGTGGTCTGAACAAACGAGAGAAATTATATGCGCGTATGGGATCTACATCTAGCTCTCGTAAAAATCCAGTGCGATCTTTTGCGCAACTCTTGTATATATAGTTGAATTCCCCAGGAAATATGGTGTGTTTCGCCCAGTAAGGTTTCTTTTATATATAGTTGAGAAACAAGAAACCATGGTTCGTACACAATCTGGCAGATGCACTACAGTGACCACCTAAAGCAAACGTCAAGCACAGCAAACCATTTGTTTTCGCTTACCAAGAATTAGCAGTATGAATACCTCTTCAAACTAAGGTGGC